AGATGGATGGAGAAATAAGATGTGATATGGCCATACAACTGAATATTACTCAGCTATTAAAACACGAGGGTACTGATACATGCTACAACTTGGATAAACCTTGAAAACAGTCTAAATGAAAAAAGAGCCTGCCCCAAAAAGACTGCATTCCATTTATGAAATGTCCAAACTAGGGAAATCTACAGAGACAGGAAGTAGAATAGTGGTTATCTAGGGCTAGAGGGATAGGGAGGGAAGGAAAAGGTGATGGCTAAAGGGCACAGGGCTTCTTTTGGGGGTGATAAAAATGTTCGAGAACCATGGTGATGGCTGTACAACTCTGTGAGGATACTAGAAACCACTGCATTCTACATTTTAAATGAGTGAATTGTAAGTGAATTGTCTCTCCACAAAGCTGTTAAAAAAAATTTCTTCAGGGTTGGGGTGCCTAGGTAGCTTAGTCAGTTGGGCATCTGGCTCTTGATTTCGGCTCAGGGCACGATCTCATGGTTCGTGGGATTGAGCCCCACGCCGGGGTCTGCACTGGCAGCACAGAGCCTGCTTGGGGTTCTCTCTCTCTCTCTCTCTCTCTCTCTCTGGCCCCCCCCCCCCCCAAATAAATAAAGTTTAAAAACTCTTCGGGGCAAATACATCTGCCATAGCAATTAATGTAAATGAGCTAAATCACTAAACACGTTTTTTTCCCAATTGCTCTAGCATCCTGAGGAGGGGTTGGCCAACTTTTCCCATAAAGATCCAGAGTAAATATTTTAGGCTTGGCGGGCCATATGGTCTCTGTTGCAATTAGTCAGCTCTGCAGTGAAAGTAGCCTTAGATTATATGAAAATGAATGAGGATGGCGGTGTTCCAATAAAACTTTATTTACAAAAACAGGTGACAGGGTAGGGGCTCTGTCTACAGAATCTCCCGCAACCCAACACAGCCGCTCTATAAAGGCAGGGCAAGTAATGCCTCTGAGGTGGTAGAGATTCTGAGAAGCTAAATGACTTGTCCAGGTAACAATTTAAATTTTTTTTTAATGTTTATTTATTTTTGACAGAGAGAGAGAGAGAGACAGAGCGTGAGCGGGGGAGGGGCAGAGAGAGAGAGAGGGAGACACAGAATCCAAAGCAGGCTCCAGGCTCCGAGCCGTCAGCACAGAGCCCGACGCGGGGCTCGAACTCACAGACCGCGAGATCACGACCTGAGCTGAAGTCGGACGCTCAACCGACTGAGCCACCCAGGCGCCCCATCCAGGTGACAATTTAAACAGAGGACACCAGCCTGGACTTTTGCTGGGCATGGCACTCAGCCAGACAAGCAGCCTCTCCGGAACACCTTCCCCCTCTATAAAGAGCTGGTGGATCGCGGACAAGCAGTATAGAGCTGGACCACCCCACACCCTCACACAGCTCCCCTTGCTGCAAAATCTCCTCCAACACCCCAGGGACCCTTTCCCAAACCCCTCCTCTCCTTCTGACACCCTTCAGCGGCACTGCCATTCCTAAGGAGCCAAGTTCAATCTGCTTGCCAACCAAGTCTTCATGGAGAAGTCCCCCACCTGGGTTTACTATTCTGCCATCCCAGAGACTCACAGGATCTCCAACCGGTAATGTCTTTGCAGTGCACTCATTGGCCTGGTTTCAGGTACCTCCCTCCCACCGGGCTTCATTCTTTCATTCCTGTTTTCTTTCATGTTTGACTAACTACCACGAGCCAGATACTTCCAAGAGCCTAAACTAGTAAAGTATGCAGTAGAAAGGAAGCAGAGATGGTGGGTCGTGGGCCACCATAGTGGGAGGTGGCATCCACGAGTCTAAATTAACCCTCTGCCTGTGCCAATTTAAGTGAGCTCCTGAATGTGTCCCTTTGCTTGGGTCATTATCTTCCTGGGATATTGTAAAGGAAACTGTTGTTTTCCTTTACACATTCACACAGACACCCTACACTCCAAATGTGTGGGGGTTTTGCCACCCATCAACTCTGTGACACCAGTGGGTGTCCTACAATTCAATTTAGTCCTGACGGTATCCGCCTGGGGATAGCATCGGATCCCACAAGGGCTCAGTCCCACAAGACTGCATTCCCAGGCTCCCTGCAGATGGCAAATGCAAGCCCAGATGGTCGGTCTCCTATGCTGCTGACCTACTGGCTATAAATCAGAGGTTCCCAGGACCCCTCCAATTTGCCAGAGTAGCTCATAGCACTCAGAAAAAAAGATTTTACTTACTAGATTACTAGCTTATTATAAAAGGATACAACTCGGGAACAGCCACACAAAGAGATGCACAGGGGAAGCTATGGGGGAAAGGGTATGGGGCTTCCGTGCCTTCTCGGAGCACGCTACTCTTCCAGCATCGCTACGTGTTCACCAACCCAGAGGCTCTATGAACCCCACAGTTCAGGGATTTTATGGAGGCTTCATTATATGGGCATGATTAATTAAATCACAGGCCATTAGTGATCAAATCAATCTCCCGCCCTTCTCCCCTCCCCAGAGGTCCGGGGTGGAACTGAGAGTACCGAAACTCTAATCTTGTGGTCGGTTCCCCTGGCAACCAGCCCCCCCACCCTCCTCAGGTGCTTTCCGAAAGCCACCTCATTAACATAACCTCAGGTGTGGTTGAAAGGGCCTTAAGAATAAAACACTCCTTCCGGATTTTGTATCTCTGAGGCTATTTTAGGACAAGAGACCAAATAGCGTAACAAAAGCTTCTTCCGTAGGTCTTATTGCTTAGTAATTACAAGGGTTTTAAGAGATGCGTGCCAGGAACTGCAGGAAAACCAAGTACATACAGTTGATCTTTGAACAACATGGGTTTGAACCGCGCAGATCCACTTATACCTAGACTTTTTTTTACAGTACAGTACTGTACGTTATTTTCTCTTATGATTCTATTTTAATTTTCCTAATAACATTCTTTAATCCAGCTTACTTTAAGGATACTGAATATAATACATATAACATACCAAATGGGCGTTCATCTACTGTTCATGTTACGGCTAAGGTTTCTGGTCAACAGTAGGTTGTTAGTAGTTCAGTTTTGGGGGAATCAAAGTTACATGCGAATTTTTGCTGGTGGGGGTTGTGCCGGTGCCCCTAACCCATATGTTGTTCAATGGCCAACTGTATATTTCTCCTTATAGCTCACAATATCACAGATGCCCTTCCCTCTTTACTGGCTCTTCATGGCCCACGTCCAGGCCTTTCAACTTGGACCCTGACAGGTAAAAAAAAGCTCAGCTCTTTGCTGCATCCGACTCTCTCCATTTGCATAAAATTATGAAACTTAACAGAAGGATCCTCGAAGGCAACTAGTCCTTCAACTCACAGAAGAAAATGAGGCCCAAAGGAAGCAGTCTCGTGCCCAATATCACACGGTACCTCACAGGTTCAGCCAGCGTTAAACCCCAGACCTGTACTTCGGCCACAATGCCAAACTATCTTAGAGTTCTAGATTTTCTAAAGCAGGCGGCATTACAGCAAGGTTCCTCAACCTCTGCTGTCATCTCTGAACTTGTTCTAGCCACCAACACTCTTCCTCCTCCTCTCCACTGAACTTCTACTCATCTGTCAAGATTCAGCTGAAACGTCCTTTCCATCCAAGACCCTTTCTAGAGCCTCAAAACCCCCGAGGTGGAAACAGGTGCTTCTTTATGTTCTCCCAGCTTCCTTGTATTTCCCTTATCACAAAATACTACACACTATTGCTTAATCAGACTATTATAACCTGCAGTTGACAGTGAACATCATTAGAGGGAGACCACGACTGCCTGGAAGGCCACCGTGCCTCCAGCTCTCAGCAGAGAAAAACTAAACTGAATGAAAAGAGAGTGTTACTACTCTTCACTCATTTAAGGCAGTCACTCCCACTCTTTCCCTAAAAATTGTCCCCAGAAGCAGTGACAAAGCCACTACCTTCTTCTAGGCCTTATCAGTCACAAGTAGAGGAAGGAGGCATCGGGGTCAACTCCTTAGCAGAAATGGCAGGGATCGCGGTAGGCCAGTGGGAGGGAGGGCCAGGAAACCCGCAGAGAACCTGGCCGGGATGGAAGATGAATGCCGACCGAATGCCCCGGTTCCAGGGTCCTTCTGTGCCCAGCCATCGGGACACAGAAAACAGGCCGATCTTTGCCCTCCACAAACTTCTCACAGAGTCTGCTCTGTGACCTTGGTGTAGTCCTGATCCAGAACCCAAATTTCCCTGTCTGAAAACAAGAATGCCATCTGCTTTCCTTACTGGAAAGGAAAACCATAAGCGCTGAGAAAAGCTGCACGTGCCAAATGACCCTCAAGCGGTCTGCCCTGGCTTGCGCTTCTATTCGCCCTCCCCCCACCCCCATCTGTAGCAGGACCCGAAAGCACTGCGTAACTTCATGAGCCTGCATCCTTCCTCGGTTACCCTGCCCTGCACAGCCAAACCCCTCAGCCCACCTTAGCCCGGCTCGATCCCTGGCCAAAAGTGAATCTGCTCTGACCTCCCTCACCTGTTGGGGGGGCATAGGCCCGGGCAGGGGACAGGGGGTTTGGCTCCGGCCCCACGGAGGCGGTGAGGGCACCCCGAGGCTGGTTCAGGAGGCGGCGCCCCGCGTCCCGCAGCCGGAGGCAGCTCCTCCACATCGCGCCCGAGAGCCTGGGAGGACGACCCGCGCGAAACCTGAGAGCAGGAAGCAGAGTGAAGGGATCCCCAAGCCGCACGCTCGGGCTGTACGGAAACCGCTCACCACCTCCCCAGAGCCCTCAGACTCCCCTGGACGCCGCCATCTTCCGCTTGACACCAGCGGCGCGCCGTCGCTCCGGCGCGCCTCCTGCGCACACCCCCAGTCAATCAGCATCACAAACGCACCTCGCCCCGCCCCCTCCACGCCGCGCCTCGGGATGAAGACTACAAGTCCCAGAGGGCCGCTCGCGCACCCCGCCACGTGTTTTCTTCGCCCGCCAATGGGTGGAAGCGCCGCGTGAGCCTGTTCCCGCCCCCCGGGCGCGCCCGAGCCAATCGGAAGGGTGGTGTGTGTGCGAGGGCAAGTGGGGAGGGGGACTCAGCTCAGGACAGGGAGGCCCTGCTCGCAGGTCCCGGGGTCCCGGTGGCAGCCGGAGCGCTTGGTCCGCAGGCAGCGGGCGGGTGGTCCCCCCTCCGCCCCCACCCTGCGCGTGCGCGCCCCGGCCCCTCCCTCCCTGCCACCCCCCTCGGCTCCCGCGCGGCGGCGGCGGTTCCTCTCCCCCTCCCCCCAGCCCTGGCTCCGGGGGACCCCGCGATGCCGGTCCGCACCGAGTGTCCCCCGCCGGCCGGTGCCTCGGCCGCCTCCGCGGCCTCGCTCATCCCGCCGCCGCCCATCAACACCCAGCAGCCCGGCGTGGCCACCAGCCTGCTCTACAGCGGCTCCAAGTTCCGCGGCCACCAGAAGAGCAAGGGGAACTCGTACGACGTAGAGGTGGTGCTGCAGGTGAGCGCCGGGCCGCGCCGGGCCGGGGCCCGAGGGCCTCCTCGCGGCGCTCACTGGCCGTGCCCGCCCCCGGCTCCTCGAGCCCGCAGCCGCGGACCAGGCCCTCGCCGCCGGGCCTCCTGCACCAGGCGCTTCACCCCCGGGACCTGCCCAGCTGGTGTCTCACACTTTCCAAGCCCCAACCCTGACCTGCCCCTCACACCGGAGCCTGTCGTGGGCAGCTCCTGGCCCACCCTGAACACTCTCCCAGACTCGAAGCCCGTGACCGGCCTGCCTGGGATCCGGAAGCCCCCTGTGACTGGCCACCCTCAGACCTGAGTCCTTCCTCCCCAGGACCTGTCGCCCCAAGATCAGCTCTCCCTCCAATCCCTCCCAGAACCTGAAGAACTCTCCGTTGGTTTCTCCTGCCTGGGAACCCTAGCCATGGCTGGGCCCGTGTCAAATTATCCCAGACTTGAGACAATCCTCCACCCCTCCCCTTTCCTCAGTTCCAGGGATCCTCAAACCTTGGGGCCCTCCTCCCGGGATTTCTTCCTTGGGAGAGCCTAGTGCCCCCTCAGACCTGGGAGCATCCTCCCTTCCTTAGCCCCTGAGCCTGAGAGCCCCCAATCCACAACTGATTCCTCGCTTCTGGTACCCCCTCAAGACCAGGCACTCACATCCTGGGTGCTGCTGGGTGGAGCTCCTCCCAGTCTGTTAGGATCTTGCCTCCTGGGGGG